ATAAGTGCTAGGAAGAGAAAAGGTGATTCAGGGTGGTTATGCTAATGAGGACTGAAACCAAGTGTGCTGGTTACATAAATCCTTTGTTCATCTGAGGGGAAGAGAGCAGTTGAGTCTAATAAGAGTCTGTGCATATGGGTCACTCAGTTTACAATCTTTATCAGCTACAGTTGATTATAAGCAGGTGTGATGTAACACTGTATTCCATTTTGATACCTATTCAACAACTGTTCTAAGTGGAGACTCTTCCTTTTACATGTGGAAACAAGGAAATACTTTAGGGAGCTCTTGCAAAAATCCAGGAAGCAAGGCCCAGTGTGGCAGCCTAGAGGCTAAAGTCCTCACCTTGCATGCACCAGGAACCTATATCATCGCTGGTTCTAATCCTGGCAGCTCCACTTCCCATCCAGCTCCCTGTTTGTGGCCTGAGAAGGCAGTCGAGGAAGGCCCAAAGCCTTGGGACTCTGCACCCACCTGGGAGACCCGGAAGAGGCTCCAGGCTCCTGGCTTCAAATCAGCTCAGCTCCAGCCGTTGTGGCTGCTTGAGGAGTGAATCAATGGATGAAAGGTCTTCCTTTCTGTCTCTCCTCCTCTCTGTATATCTGACTTTCCAATGAATCTTTTTTGAAAAAACCCAGCAGCAGATGGCGGGGCTCATCTATAATAGTGTATAGCACGGGTGTGGTGAGAAAGTGTTAAGATTCTGGATCTATATGGAGAAGAATAAAGACTAGGTGGAGAATGGCTCCTGGGTTTTGGCCTGTGCTACTGGATGATAGGAACTACTCTGGAAATAGAAAGGCCAAGGGTAAAGCAGGACTTGGGGCAAGATCATGAGTTCATGTGCGTTTAGGAGGTCTCTTAGACAAAGGATGGGGACAGTAGGAGCAATGAGGACTGGCTGGTGACAAAAGCTTGGGACTGAATGTCGAGAGATGGTTTTGAATAGCATGAGGCCATATATGCATTCTCCTAAGGCGTCAGTGATCTAGACATTCCAGAGGCTACTGAGATGCAGTAGCTACGTTCGACTATGTCCTGCCATGGGCTAGACACTAGTCTATATGCTTTATGTACGTATCTTGCTAAATCTCCCCAAATTTGTCAGATAGTTATTGTAATCCTTATTTTAGAAATAAGGAAGCAGTCACCAGAAAAGTTGAGTAATTTGGCCAGGATCACACAGCTAGCAAAGGCAAGACTTAAGATTTAAGCACAAGTATGCTGAAGTTCCCATAACTCTGCCCTCAACAGTAATGAGCTAATCTTGGGCAGAGAACAAATTGGCTGTACGACGAGTAGTCTCAGTAGCTTGTGGCACCTTGCGTATGTGAGGCATCCCCAAAAGGCTCACGGTAAATGCCATTATGAAACTACTGCATGGATTTCAAGACTTCCCGTACCAATCTTTTAATTTTATGTCTTTGCATGGAGTTTCAAAACTTTTTGCACCAGAATAAAACCATCTTTTAATTCTATTTTGTAGGGAGTTTTGTTTGTATTTAAAGGTTTTTTTTTTTTTTTTAAATTTAGAAGGCAGTGTTACAGAGAGAAGGAAAGACAAAGGTCTTCTATCCATTGGCTCACTCCCTAATGCTCCAATGGCTGGACTGAGCCGATCCAAAGCCAGAAGCCAGGATCTTCTTCTGGGTCTCCCATGTGAGTGCAAGGGCCCAAGGATTTAAGTCATCTTCTATTGCTTTCTCAGGCCATGAACAGGGAGCTGGATTGGAAGTAAAGCAATCAGGATTTAAACAGGTGTCCATATGTGATTCTGGAGCCACAGGCAGAGGCTTTGACTACATGCCACAGCATCAGTCCCCATTTTTTTTTTAAGATTTATGTATGTATTTTTTTAAAGAAGATTTATTTATTTATTGGAAAGTCAGATATACAGAAAAGAGGGGAGACAGAGAGGAAGATCTTGCGTCTGATGATTCACTCCCCAAGTGACTTCAATGGCTGATGCTATGCCAGTTCAAAGCCAGGATCCAGGAACTTCTTCCGGGTCTCCCACACGGGTGCAGGGTCCCAAAGCTTTGGGCTGTCCTCGACTGCTTTCCGAGGCCACAAGCAGAGAGCTGGATGGGAAGTGGAGCTGCCAGGATTAGAACCGGCACCCATATGGGATCCCAGTGCGTTGAAAGTGAGGACTTTAGCCGCTAGGCCACGCCGCTGGGCTCAAGATTTATGTATGTATTTTTTATTTGAAAGCCAGAAACAGAAGGAGAGATAGAGACATCTTCCATCTACTGGTTCACTCCCAAAATTGTAAAACAGCTGGAGCTGGACTAGGCTGAAGCCAGGAGCCCAGGGCTTCTAAGTTTCTCATGTGGATGCAGGGGCCCAAGAACTTAAGCTATCCTAAGCTGATTTCCCAGGTGCATTAGCAAGCAGTTGGATGGGAAGTAGAGTAGCCAGGATTCGAACCAGAGCCCATATGAGACCTGGCACTGCAGTTGCCAGCTTTACTTACACACCACAGCGCTGGCCCTACTGCATGGAGTTTTTCAAGTTCCAGCGTATCAATTTGATGCTAAAATCTATAATGTTGAGTGTGTATCAGAATAACCCAGAAGGGTTTATTTAAGAGGTTCTGATTTCTTGGGTCTGGGGTGTGGCCTGTGAATTTGCATTTGTAACAGGTGCCCAGGTGAGCCTACTGCTGGTCTGGGGATGCTGAGTTGTTGGTCTGAGAGTTGTAGGGTAGATTTCCTTTCACTTTGCTAGCTAACTAGTCTCTACCTCCCCTCTGCTCAGGACTTTCTCATTTCCAAAAGGGGAAACGGGAAATTACCAGCTAATCAGAGCTGGTGTGACAGCTCCTTCCTTTTTAAGTCTCGCTTTCTCCTTCTGAAGGTGGGGCAGGTGATGGCGGCTTGGTTTCAGGTGCTGTTTAGCACACAGCTGACCAAGCTGCCTAGCAAGCCTGTTCCTCCTACCATCTCCCACTCCCCCTCCAGTGATCTCCTTTTCCTTTCTGGGGAAGACACTTCCAACGTTACCCCTTTTGGTGCCCATATCCATCAGGCATAACGGGAGGGTTCATAGAGAGTAGACGCTAACATCAGACCCACTATTGGGAGGGCTCCTTTAAGAACAAGAACATAGGCTTGCCACACACAGTATTAGGTGCAGGGCTTTGGAAAGAACTTGTGCAAGACAGGGGCCCCAGCAGCTTAAGCCTCATTAGCTTCATGGGAAACTGACCTCCCATCAAACATGTCTGTGTATGTCTAAGCTCCAATTATAGACATATGCAAGTGATTTCCCATGGGATTCTGGAGCCTGAGGCTATCAGGGGATGTGGTTGATTCCTGTGTAAACCAACCTGTGCAGCGCAAGGTTGGAGCCACTGGTTTGTCTTGTAAGCGGCCGTGGGGGAAGGGCTACCCTCTCTGACTGCCAGCACACTGGGGGCTGTTTTGATCCAGCTAAGGTACTCAGTTAACACACCCGTGGGCTTGATTTCCTCCCGCAGTTAACCCTTCCAGAAATCTTTTTTTGCCTTAGGCACGTATCAAAAGCCAAATCAGAAGTGATGCTTATTCCTATTTCATTACATCAAGGACAAAATCTGATGACCCACTTTTGGCACTGACATTCAGAAAACTAAATTCGTTTTTAAAAAATCATCAGGGTAGGGCCCGGCGCAGTAGCCTAGCGGCTAAAGTCCTCACCTTGCATATGCCAGGATCCCATATTGCCTTCTATTCTAATCCGGGCAGCCCTGCTTCCCATCCAGCTCCCTGCTTGTGCCCTGGAAAAGCAGTCAAGGACGGCCCAAGCCTTGGGACCTTGCACCCACATGGGAGACCTGGAAGAAGCTCCTGACTTCAGATCAGCTCAGCTCTGGCCGTTGTGGCCACTTTGGGAGTGAATCAGTGGACAGAAGATCTTCCTGTCTCTCTGTAAAATCTGCCTTTCCAATAAAAATAAATAAATCTTAAAAATCATCACGATAAGGTCAATTTTTAAATGTACCAGTTAATTATAATGCTCAATTGACAAAGGCTACCGTGCAGGGTAGAATTTTGTGTTTCGGTCTTCTTGAAGCCGTATTTTCCTATCTGTTATAAAGACGTTATTAGCAGCCTTGGTTTGAGAAGTAAGATGATTCTAGCCTTGGAGCTGGGAGAAGTTACTGAGAGGAGGAAGACCCAATCCCCACAATCCCTACCCCCATAGGAATTTTAAATTAAGACTGGGCAGGCACACCAACAATCTCCACCTAAGGGGAAAGGCGTGAGAGAAAGCGCCTGCACGGGCCTAGAGGGAAATACGTGACAAGAAACGACTTAATCCAAGACAGAGAAAGCCTGCAGGGCCACCGGAGGCTACCCCCTTGCAGCCAGGGGTCAGCGCCGCTTTCCGCAGCCTCCGCCGACCGGCACGAGGTCTGCAAGCGCCGCCGGGGCGCTAGGTTGCAGGCGGTACAAAGATGGACCGAGGGTGCCCCGGTTCTCCAGGCACCACTTCCAGGAACTGAGTCAGACCCGGAGTCGCTGAGCGGCGGGGTAGCCCAGGAGTCACTGGATTGGATTTTCCGCCCCTTGACGCCTGGTGATCACTCACACTCGGCGGAAAGCTCTCCCATTGCAGCGCAGAACAAGAGGCGCCTCGTCCAAGGCGGCAGAGCCTCCTCCCCCGGCGCCCCGCCCCGCACCATGGCGGCTGCGCGGCGTGGCTGCCCCGTCGCCACGTGATCGCCGTCACTGCCTTCGCGAAGCGTGAGCAGCCATCATAAGTCCTGGCAGCAGGGCTTCCCTCCTGCCCCCCACCCCCCTCGCCAACAGGGCAGCGGTGAGAGGTGGGGAGTTGTGCTGTATCGGTCCCAGGCTGGTTAGTGACACCGGGCAGCTCCGAGAGGAAGGCGAGGATCTGAGTCGTGCAAACTCCAGGGCGGGAAGCCTGAGCGACGGGGCCGCCCAGGTGTCGGCACGGCGGGGGGCGGGTCCCAGCCGCGCCCCGCCCCCTCGCGGGCCAGCGCCCAGGGCCGCCGCGGCCCTTGCCCGTTTCCAGTATGGCCGCCCGCCGTGCTTGACCCGCGGCCTCCCCGCTCCGGGCTCCTGGCAGGCGATGCCGAGGCCGAGGCCGTGACTGACACGCTCGCTCACACGCACGCACGGACCCGGTCCCACGCTCGGAACCCGAGCTCTCGTCTCCGGCCCCGCAGCCAGAACCCGGACCACGGCTCCCGCGCCGCAGCCTCGCCGAGAAGGGCCGCGCCGGACCCGGACGGCGAGCGCGGCGGCCCCCGGCCGGCAGACATGGGGAAGCGGGCGGGAGGAGGAGCAGCTGGAGCCGCCGCCGCCTCCTCGTCCTCCGGGGCCGGGCTGGAGCCCGCGGCCGGCCGCAGCGGGGGCCCGCGGAGCGCGGCCGCCGGCCTCCTGGGCGCGCTGCACCTGGTCATGACCGTGGTGGTGGCCGCGGCGCGGGCCGAGAAGGAAGGTGAGTGTCGCGGCGGCGGCCGGCCTCCCGGGCCCCGGGCCCCGGGGCTGCGCTGTCACCGCGCTCCCGGTCGGAGCCGAGGAGTCGCGCTTGGGGTGCCCCGCTCGCGGTCGGGTGCTCGGTGGTTCCTTCTGGTCTTTCCCTGTGTCCTGTCAAGTGCCGTTTCAAAGAAAACTTCCCGAGTGGGCCCTCCCTGGGAGCAGGGACACGTTTTGCGGCATGTTGGGTGCTAACAGGTACATCTTAGAACCCACCTCCCCATCCCCGCCGTGGCCGTGTGGATAACGGCGTAGGGTCTCGCTTCAACTATCGTAGCAAGGCTGGTGGAGAGAGGCTCCCAGCTCCGCTTTCCCAAATTTTACTTTGAATTTGCTCAACCATTTCTTAGCGGGGCATCTTGCTTGTCTCCCTCCCTTCCCTCCTCCTCATGGTTTTGCGGCGCTGCTGATTGTGTTTCCATGATTGTTTCTTGCCCCAGCTAGATTCCATTCAACTTTCTAGTAAACTATGGAAACAGTTTGCGTTTTCTTAGTTGTTTTAAGGTTTGTAAATGTAATGCTTGAGGATCTTACGTGCAAGACTTTAAAAACAAATATCACGTTGCTGGCTTGCAAGCCTTTGTATCTATCTGGTCAGGCTGGCAGTTTAAAACTCTAGTATTGTGTGACTGTAAAAGCGGTACTCTTGTTAGGGTCAGAAATCGTTTGATAATCTTGAAGAACCAATCGCTGTAATTTTATCCGGGGAAAACTTTTATCCGAGGCTAAATGAAGAATTTGTTCCAACAATAACAACAACGACACACTCAGCAACACTTGTTAGTAATTAACTCTACAGTAACTTCCTGCCACACTGTTAGAGTTGATGCTCAACTTTACGGGTGAAGTCGCTTTCTGTTGTTATCAAAGGCAGCAACAAATGCAAATCAAATTAACGTTCACGTGTAAGTAAGCTTTCATTGATTACTTTTGTCTGAAACATTACATTCTTTCACCTGGGTAAATCAACTCACCTGAATTACCAGAGGTGGAGGTTGGATCCAATGAATTGCCATTTGTTATAAAGGCTCAACTGATAGAGACAAAGTTGTTTTCAGAATAAAACATTGGTGCTTTAGGGCTGTTCAGGTTTGGGCTTTTTATTGGTCCTAGTTGGCTTTGGATCTGCAGTTAGTTCAGTGTTCTGTGTGACCAGTGCAGGCAACATCTTGGCAAGCAGTGGGTGTCCAACAAGCCCAAAATAATGCAAATAATTTAACGGGCATGTTTGAGCTTCTGGTAAACCCTGGCAGGCATTGTGTCCTTGGCTTTTTCTGTTCCATTGCCAGTGCCAGACACACAGTAGGCGTTTGGCCATTGTTTGAGCGAATGTCTTCATGGGCCATTAGCACAGGGAAATGAGTGAGTCTAGTGAAAGATTCGGTTTGCATTATCTTACTGCTGCTGATTTTTTTCCAACAGCCATTTAATATGCTAAGTCTCTGGATACAGTTAAATAAACAAAACCTCTTGTTTGAGCGCTGTCAGCCTGAAAGATACTTACTCATTTTCTATTTGTCTAGCTTGTAAGTTTCAGTGCTCTGATGTCCATGAATGAGTGCGAGGGCTTGGCAGGCCGACCAGCTGCCAGGGCGTTTAGGATGAAAAGAAGTGTTTGAATCAGCCAGTGGTCCTGGCCTAATCCCATACCTTTCCTGGCCATTGCTGTCTCTGTGTGAACAATGTGTGTGCACAGAGCCTGCGATTCAAGGTCCTGTTGGTGATTACACCAACCTAGAACACAGGCCTCTGCCCGTCATGAGCGGATCTGGTTCCAATCAAGTATTCCCCGAAGGAATCTCCAGAAATGGACTGTGCTTTCCACTTTCTCTCTGATCAAATGCAAGTGTGGCTTTTATTTTGAGTCAGGGAAATGCAATTGATTTTCCTTCATGATTGTGATGCCGTGAGGTTGGCCCCTGGTGGGACACACATTGTCTGCCTGAGAGGAGTTCTGGGGAGTTTTCAAGTGTGTCTGGACAGATGTCTGTTCAATCATACTCTGAGGATTTTTTTCTTTTGGTGTTTGTTTAGGCAGTGTAAACTAGTTTAAATTTTCAAAGCTTTACCTGCAGTTTTAATGATGGCTGCCTGAGTATGTTCATATGTTTTTGTATGTTCATATGTGTTTTTTTTCCTGCATTACCGTAATTTCATTTGAACATCTTCAAAGCATAATTGAACTCCTTTTCCTAAAGCAAAAATGTGGAAATAGCTAGATTACCTAATGCAGTTTTTCATGTCAGGACAAGGTGTTAATTTTCTTGAGTCAGAAATGTGAACCATTCCTTGCCTTAACATCCTATATGGCTTAACTTTCTTTATCTGAACTTCAATCTTAACTGATCTAGGAGGGTGTGTTATCACTAGGCCAGAGGAAAGAGACCTTTGAGACTGTTTTGGCTAGGCACTCAAGCTTGTAAGGACTTTGAAAGAGTTGCCAGAGGTAGCTCTAATTACTACCGATAAATAGCTTATTCTGGAGTAGTGCCAGGATTTTTCCTGAGGCTAAGATATTGAGAGAAGTGGCAGAGTGTGTACTTAATGAAAATAGATCAAATGTACAGTGAAAATACATATGTATATTAAATGTATAACGGTTACAGTTTTAAATTGCAAAGTGTCATGGAGCATAGTTTCAATAGGAAATGGGCATTTTGGAGCTGTAACACCTTGTTTACATTTATATGAAGATGAGGCTGCAGTTTAGGTACCTAGTAAATATCGATTTAGACAATTTTCCTGAAATAGGATTCCATGACAGGGCCAGTCTCAATTGGAAATAAATGGCAGGATTACATTTGACTGTCTTTAGGAGGGTTTTTTTTTTTTTTTTTTTTGGCCAGTGTGTTATAGCTCCAAGCATAATTTTTTTTTAAAGGGGTAGAGGAGGGAGAAGTTCATACTTTTTGTTTTTTGTTTGTTTTATTATTTTATTTATTAGAAAGTCAGACATACAGAGAGGAGGAGAGACAGAGAGGAAGATCTTCCATCTGATGATTCACTCCCCAAGTGAGCGCAATGGCCGATGCTATGCCGATCCAAAGCCAGGATCCAGGAACTTCTTCCGGGTCTCCCACATGGGTGCAGGGTCCCAAACCTTTGAGCCGTCCTCGACTGCTTTCCCAAGCCACAAGCAGGGAGCTGGATGGGAAGTGGGGCCACCGGGATTAGAACCGGCGCCCATATGGGATCCCGGGGTGTTCAAGGGGAGGACTTTAGCTGCTAGGCCACATTCCTGGGCCCCGAGCATAAATTTTTGATGTGGCTATTTTTTTGACTTACATACAGAATGGTGCAAAAGTATCTTCTCTGCAAAGCATATGAACAAAGGGCTTAATATTAAACAGAAGAGGCAAAAGTCTACTGATGATTTGTCAGAGGGTGATCAATGTGTATTTTTTTCTTAAATAGTCAACTTAAAATGTAAAAAGTTTTAGAGTGGTTTTGTTAAGAGTGATTTTTTTTGGGCCCAGTGCAGTAGCCTAGTGGCTAAAGTCCTCAGTTTGCATGAGCCAGGATCCCATATGGGTGCTGGTTTGTGCCCTGGCAGTTGTACTTCCCACCCAGCTCCCTGCTTGTGGCCTGGGAAAGCAATATAGGATGGCTAAAAGCCTTGGAATCCTGCATCTGTGTGAGAGACACGAAGGAAATTCCTGGCTCCTAGCTATGGATCGACTCGGCTCCAGCCATTGCAGCCACTTGGAGTGAGTCAGTGGATGGAAGATCTTTTTCTGCCTCCTCTTCTCTCTGTAAATCTGCCTTCCCAATAAAAACCAATAAATCTAAAAGAAAGATTTTAAGAATAGATTTATTTATTCACAAGTCTGAGTTAGAGAGGGATGGGAAGAAGACCTGTCTGCTGGTTCACGTGGTCACAGCAGCGAGGGCTGGGCCAGGCCAAAGCCAGCAGCTGCTTCTGGGACTCCCATGTGATGCAGCAGGACAGGTGCTTGGGCCATGAGCAGGGAGCTAGCACAGAAGCGGAGCAGTGGGGACTTGAACTGGTTCCCACATGGGATGTTGATATTGCTGTTGCAGGCTGGTGGCTTAACCACAGGATCCACCCAGTGAGGTGTTTTAACTCTTTGTATGGCAGTGGGGCAGCTGCGTTTCAACTGCTGTGAATAAAATATTCCTGTTGATTGCTTCACTGATGAACCTTTTGTTGTTTACATGTTGCCAAAAGCTTTGCTTTGTTTATTTTGCTTTGGAGAAGTAGTGGGAAATGTGTGCCCTCTCCTTCTCAGAGACTGGTTTCCTCTTCTTTTAGAATCCTCACAAGGAATTAATAGGCACTTGGGTGTGGGGTCAATGTGAAATTACCTGGTTTTGGGTAGTAACAAGCTGGACTGCTCTCAGGGACCGTCCTTGCTGGGTGCTTGATGTTGTAGGCGTCCTCCGTGCTCTGGGATTGCCTTTGTCCTCTTGCTGTCCATCACTGCTCTCTGGTTGCTCTTCCTTCATAAGTGTGTCTTGCTGCTGGTACACACTGTGGATTTCTAAGGCAGAACTGAACTGCCTTGTGCTGCCTCTGATTTTCCAGTTTTTTAAAAAATTAATGTCACGATTGGGTTCCCTGTCACATTATATTGTTAAAAAAGTGTTGTGTCTGTGTTTTTAGATTTGAAAGGCAGACAGAAATATGTTGATTCTCACATACTGGTTCACTCCCCATAACCTTGGAACAGTCTGGCTGGACCAGGCCAAAGCCAGAGCTGAGAACTGAGTTCTGGTCTTCCACATGGATGACAAGGACCCAGCCACTTGAGCATCACCTGCCATATCCCAGGAGTTGAGAAAGGAGATGGAACTTACTCAGATTCTCTTGATAGAGGAGTGTTTAAAATAGTGTCCTAACTGCTTTGAGGAGTGCCTGCCCCCCAGACTTAGTTTTGGCCCTGAAGGAAGTGGTGTCAGCTCTTCTACAGCCCCCTAGCTTCCAGGCTCAGCACTGCAGTGGGGTATCTGTGTTGATGCTCACCTGGATACTGCCTTCATGTCCCAAATGTTGTCTTCCCTTTGATAGAATTGCTTTAAGGCAGAATTCTGTCTGCTTTGTTTCATAGCAAACATTCAGGTTTGAATGAAGCTATGTTTAAAATGATCTTGTTGGGCCCGGTGCAGTAGCCTAGTGGCTAAAGTCCTCCCCTTGCATGCACCAGGATCCCATGTGGGTACCAGTTCATATCCTGGCAGCCCTGCTTGTGGCCTGGGAAAGCTCAGGTTTGGCTGTCGTGGTCACTTGGGGGAGTGAATCAGAAGATGGATCTTTCTTTCTGTCTCTTCTCCTCTCTGTATACCTGACTTTCTAATAAATAAATAAACAAATCTTAAAATAAATTAATAAAATGATCTTGTCCTTCCCTTTTTGTGCCTGAAGCTTGAGGGTTGAGTGTCTGGAGACCTCTCAGATTGAAATGTTGCTAGGGATTTTTCTGTTTCCCGCTTTTTTCTTCCCCATTGTTGCTTTCCTTTGTCAACTAAATGAGTTCTATTCAATTATCTAAAAATCACTCTATGAGTTTTGAATTTTAAGATTTTCAGGTCCTTCTAAGGACCCTACTTACAGATCATGATTCTGAATCCTGAAGAGATTAAATAGTAATACCCAGGATAATACCTGGTGGGTGATTGACCTACCAATGAATTCCATCCCAAGCTCTGCATCCCTGGAGCCAAGCCGTGCAATCCTGAATGAGTACCTGAGGGAGGAGTGGCTTTTGTTACATTGTGTACCAGCTGGAGGAAAAAATATCCAGTTTGTGGAAAACAGTGTATTATGTAGATGACTAAAATGTGCCTTTTTGTGTTTAAACCATGATAAACTTTGATATCACTTTCTGTTGATGTACCATTTTGCATCATGAAAGCTTTTTATTTTATTATTTTTGAGATTGATTTGAAAGGCAGAGAAGGAGGTATTCCGTCTTCTAGTATACTCCCCAGATGCCTGCAGCAGCAAGGACAGGCCCGACCGCAGCAAGGAGCGCAGAACTCAATCCCGGTCTCTCACATAGGTGGCAGTGACGCAGGTACTTGTGTCTTCAGCTCTCCAGGTGTGCCTTAGCAGGAGGCTGGCCTTGGAAGCAGAGCCAGGTTTGAACACAGACACGCTGATATGGGATGGGAGCATCTCAAATACTGTTGTCATGAAATGCCTACCCCAGCGAAAAAGGTTCTTAAAAGGATGCCAAGGAAACTGATGAATGGATACTCAGGGAATCTTGGATGTTGGAAGCTACTGACTTTGTTCTTGATGATTTAGGTATCTGCTTCTGTTGCTTAGGCTAAGGTTATGCAATATTACATTATGTGAATGCTCCTTGTAGTCTAGCCATATGGAAGATTCTGTGCTGGTCCTGGATTAAAAGATGCTGGAGATAATCAGAGTTAGTAGCAGCATTTGCTTTTGTCAGGGAAGAAATCTTTCAGACTTAGGGCCAGGGTCACCGGAAGAAACTCATTTCTGGTGCCGTGAAGGCATTTGGAAGTAGATGATCATTAGCCTCATCCATAGTGCTAAGCCACTTTTTCTTTTATTCCCCTGTGATTACTTTAAAATCCCAGATGAAAGAGTTCTAGAAAGCTGTGCTATTTGCTTGCTTCACTTCATTCCATGCAACACCTGGGTTAGAGATCTACAAACTGTTTCATATCTAAGAGGATTATTGACATGCATTATTTATTGTTTAAAAAATATTTAGAGGCTGGCATTGTGGCATAGTGGATTGAGCCATTGCCTACAATATTGGCATCCCATATAGGCATTGGTTCGAGTCCTGACTGCTGCTTTTCCTATTCAACTCTCTGTTAATGGCTTGAGAAAGCAGCTGAATATGGCCCAAGTCCTTGGTCCCTTGCACTCACATGGGAGACCCAGCTGGAGCTCCTGGTTCCTGACTTTAACCTGGTCCAACCCTGGCTGTTCTGTCTTTTGGGGGAGTGAACTAGCAGATGGAAGAGCTCCTTCTCTCTCTTTCTCTCCCTTTGTTTTTCAAATAAAAACATTTTAAAATAATTTAATTGTGATAAAAGCATAAAATTTGCCATCTGACTCGTTATTAAGTATACGGTTCAGTGGTGTTAAGTATGGTTGGAAGTTTTTGCTCCTGGGACGCTGGAGGCTCTCTGCCGTTGAATCAACTCCTCATATCCCATATCTTCCTGTCCTCCCATAGTGCTGGTTATCATCATTGCACTTGCTGTTTCTACAAACCTTACTACTGTAGACACCTCATGTAACTGGGATCATGCAGGTTTTGTCTTTTTTATGGTTTTATTTATTTATTTGAAAGGCAGAGTTACACACACAAACACATATACACACAGTGAGAGCAAGAATTAAGAATGAGAGAGGTAGATCAACCAAAGCTCTTCTGTTTGCATTTTGAAATGTCTCAGACATTGTAGGAAACTACCTGTATTAACAGCAACAAAAAATAGGTTTAAGAATAAGTTTGAATGTGTAAGCTCTGAGGAAAACTCAGCATCCTTGAGTAGAGGAAGTTGATTTGACTGCAAGGCACTCCTTGTGCTTGGATGGGAAGACCACATGTCCTAATGCTGTGTGTTACCCCCAAGTGCCTAGGATAGCTTTCACATGCCAATGAAAGTTTTCATGGAGCTAGAAAACTTGATGTTAAAGTCCATATGGAGGTGTCTCTCTCTCCCTCCTCTTTCGAGAGGCACCCCACCTCCTGGCTTTCTCTCCAGAGATGCTTCCCCTTCCCTCTCCCTTCCCTGCTCACCTGGTCCCTTCGCAAATAAACTTATCTGTCTGCAAAAAAAAAAAGTTCATACAGAAAGATAAAGATGTGGGAATGCTGAGGAAGAAGTTAGGAGGGATCACTGGTACACGCAGGTTTTTTTTTTTTTAAATTTCAAAAAAATTTTTTTTGGAAAGTCAGGTATACAGAGGGGAGAGACAGAGAGGAAGATCTTCTGTCTGTTGATTCATTCCTCAAGTGACCGCAGTGGCAGGAGCACAGAGCCTCTTCTAGGTCTCCCACGCGGGTGCAGAATCCCAAAGCTTTGGGCTGTCCTTGATTACTTTCCCAGGCCACAAGCAGGGAGCTGGATGGGAAGTGGAGCTGCTGGGATTAGAGCTGGCACCCATATGGGATCCTGGTGTGTGCAAGGTGAGGATTTTAGCCAATAGGCTACCCACACCGGGCCCAGGTACACGCAGTTATTAAAATGTGCTCTAAGTTATTATAGAATCAGATTAAGTAAGGTACCAGTGTATAAATAGACTAGTGGCACAAAGTTCCAACAATAGGCCTAACAATATGTGGCTTATGATAAAAACCTGCTTTCTCTTGGGAAGTCTGGAAGTTGTTATGCTGTAAAGAGGATGAACAACCTCAAATTAAAAAAATTGGAACACTGTTTTATTTTCTTACAGCGGCTGTAGCAAGTTACCACAACTTTAGTGGTTTAAAATAGTGGCAGAGTAGATAAAGTCACTGTTTGCAGCACTGGCAGTCTATATGTGCTGTAATCCAAATCCCAGTGGCTCAACTGCCCATCTCTCTCTTAATGGCCTGAAAAAGCAGTGTTTGGACCCCTGCCACCCACAAGGGAGACTTGGATGAAGCTTCTGGCTTCTGCCAGGGCTATTGCAGCCATTTGTGCAGTGAGGCAGCAGATAGAACATCTAGAGAAATCGCTGTCTGCTGGTTTCTCCTCTTTCTGTAACTCTTTCAAATAAATGAGTAAAATCCTCAAGACCAGCCTGCAAGCACGTGCGCGCGCGCGCGCGCGCACACACACACACACACACACACACACACACACACACACAATTTGTTTCCCATAGCGGAGGGCAAGACTTAAGGTGCTGACAGGGCTGTGTGCCTCTTTCATGCTTCAGGAAAGAATCTCTTCCCTTCAGTGTTCAGCTTCTGGAGAGGTCCTGCATTCCTTGGCTGTGGGCACCTTCCTCGTGTCACCTTGTCCTCCTAGTCTTGGCTTCTCCCATCCTCATGCTGCCTGCTGTTCTTCTAGGCATGATTGCCTTTGACCTGTGTGGAACCCTCTGGCCCCAGAGCTTTGACTTAATCACATTTACAGCTGCCCTTTGTCGCGTAAAGTAACATTCACCGTTGGTGGGGTTAGGATGAGGGCATCTTGGAAGACATGAATTAGTCTACCACAGACATCGAGTTTCTTTTTTTTTTTAAGATTTATTTTTATTATTTTTTTATTGGAAAGGCGGATATACAGAGAGAGGAGAGACAGAGAGGAAGATCTTCTGTCTGATGATTCACTCCCCAAGTGAGTGCAACGGCCAATGCTATGCCGATCCAAAGCCAGGAGACTCTTCCGGGTCTCCCACGCAGGTGCAGGGTCCCAAAGCATTGGGCTGTCCTTGACTGCTTTCCCGGGCCACAGGCAGGGAGCTGGAAGGGAAGTGGGGCTGTCGGGACTAGAACTGGCTCCCATATGGGATCCTGGGGCGTGCAAGGCAAGGACCTTAACCACTTGCGCCACCTCGCCGGGCCCGACATCGAGTTTCTAATGCACTTCTTTGCTAGATATGGCACCCAAAGCACAAATAACAGCAAATAGATAAATTTAACATCATCAAAATTAAGTTTTGTGTGGTAGAGCAAGTGAAAACACAGCCCATAGAATGGAAGAAATTTTTATAAATTGTTGATACATGTAGAATACTTAAGGAGCTCTTAACAATGAATTTAAATGGCCGTGGGTAGGCATTTCTCTAAAGAAGATAGGCAGTAAGCGTACACAAAGATGTCTAGCATCATTTGCCCACTATTAGAAACAGAAGTGAAAACTGAAATGAGTATAGTTCACACCCACTAGTACAGCTGTAATAAAAAAGACAGGTAATAAGCAGTGTTGACAAGGATGTGAGACATCAGAATGTTGTGTATTGCTCCTGGGAATGTAGATGGTGCAACTGCTTTGGAAGGCAGTCTGGTTGTTCCTGAAAATGCTGAACATGCATTGCTCATATGTGTTTATCCCAAAGACATGCAAGTATAAAAGCCTGTACTAGGATGTTCATAGCAACATGTTCATAATAGCCCAAAAAAGTGGAATATCTAAGATGTTTATTGACTGAAGAATGGGTAAATAAAATTAAGACTTTTTAAAAATTTATTTTAAAATTTATAAAATTCATATTTTATGAATGTATAAAAAATAGTGAACTGCTGATGCATGGTTCAACATAGATTAGTCCTGAAGTGAAAGACCAGATAGTCCTGTGAGTACAGAAGATATTTCTATGAAATGTCCAGAGCAGGTGAGTCTATACAGAACACAACTAGATTAGTGATTGCACAGTGGGGTTGGGGAGTATGAGGAGTACAGTAAGGAGCACGACCTTTTTGGGATGATGAAATGATCTGGAGATGGATGGGGCAGTGGCTTGCACAGCTCTGAGTGTACTGGTAACTGCATAGTATACTTTAATTGGACGAAGTATATGGTATGTGAATTATGTCTCAAGATTATTAAATATTCTACTTAAAATAATCTTTTTCATCTAAGCGGGAAAAAGCCTAAATGAGATACCATTTTCAACTTTAAGCTGGCAAAAATTAAGAAACTTTGCAAACAGTTTTGGTGAGATTGTGGGAAAGCTCATATGTTCACCCCTTGCTGGTGATAGCACTGTGCTCCCCCCACTCCCTGCTCAAATCACAGCCTTGGTGGAAAGAACCTTGAAACAAGCTGTGTAGTATGTGTACTGTATGCATGTTTATATCTTGACCTAGCAATCCCATTTTTAAGAATTAATCCTGAGGATGCACTCCCAACATTGCAAATACATATGCACAGGCTTATTCACAGATCTATTATCTATAAGCAAAACAAAACAAAAAACTGAAAACTGCCTAAATGCTTGTATGTGGTTGAATAAATTATGGTACATCCATATAGTGGGTTATTATCTTGTGCCTGTAAAGAGAATTAGTCCCCCACATAGGTGAAGAAAACCTGATTGATTACCTGGGCCATCACTGTTGCCTCCCAGGGTCTGCTTAAACATGAAGCTGGAGTCAGGAGCCAGAACAAGGTTTTCTATCCAGTTACTCCAATATGGGGTCAGGGTGTCTTAATGGGAGTCTTAACTGCCAGGCTAATAAAGCCTTTAAAACATGTGTCTTGGCACAATGGCTCAGTTAACTAATCTCCCCACTTCAAGTGCTGGGATCCTACATGGGCACTGGTTTGTGTCTTGGCCATTCCATTCCCATCTAGCTCCCTGCTTGTGGCCTATTGAAGCAGTGGAGGATGACCTGAGAGCTTGGGACCCTGCATCAGTGTGGGAAACGTGTAAGAAGCTGCTGGCTCCTGGCTTTGGATGGCTTGTTGTATGGCCATTGAGGCCATTGT